CTCCGTGCGTACACGCAGCCCATCCACTTTCTCATGCTCTTACTCTTCCTCCTTTTCCCGGTCGTTCGTAAAAATATCTCCTCGCTTTCTCTCTTCCTCTCTCCGCCCCCCTTCCGTCTCTCTCTCTCTCTCTCTCTCTCCCCTTCTCTCTATCTTTCGTATTAGCTTTGCGGCCAGATGAAAAAAATGGATGGGCGGAACGAAATGGCAGGGGATGGCGGAAAGTGGTGCGGGGGAAGAGAGTGGAAACATCGTTCGCGGAAAGCTTATTTCCACGCTCCTTCGGCAAGAACGGATAGGTCTCCTTTATCACGCTCGCAATATACACCACGAAGGTGGTGGCTGCTGCTCGCAAAGGTATCCCGGATACGAAGCACGCTGCTTTTAGAAATATCGTTCACCCCCTAGCGACGACGCCCCCACGACGACGATGACGGCGGCGGTCGGCGCGCTCGACGGGCGGTCGTCGCGACGCGCCGGGCTTTTTCTCGCTTGCTCGCGTTGTTGTTTCGCCCGGCTTTCCCGACGGCAACAAACTTCGCGCGGGAGTAAACGCGCCAGTCAAACCGTGACGGAACGATGTGCCCCCTTTTTAGAGCTCGCCGGTGTTCCCCGCATTCTCTCCGTTTAGCGCGTCGCATTGAATGTCGCGATATCTCGCGCTCGCGTGAACATAACTCGCGAGTTACTCCCTCGTTGCGGGCCGAACGAGACGAATGCGACCGGCCGCGACGATCCTGAAAGCGCCGTGTCGGATTTACGCGCGGAATGTAAGAACCACGTTCGGCCGGACGAGTCGTGAAACGCGGTAAATATTAGCGCGGAGCCTCGTTAATGCGTTTGACGCGTTATGCAAAACACTCGATTCGCCTGCTTGATACATTTTATGCGCGCGTAAGTGCAATCGTGCGCGTTAAGTACGGCCGGTAAAAATACAGCGTGGGCTGCGGTGAACGACTTTCAATCGAAGCGCGGTAGCGAACGTGTCAATGCAACGCACGTTTCGAAGAGCACGCTGCGAGGCTGACTTTCTCCATACAACGAATTATCGCGTTCTCTCTCATTACGTCAATATTGATTGAACGCTACATCACATCAATTATCGACATGCCGTATAATGAGGAACGGACAATTCTCCCGAGTCGCATCACAAAGAATTCGTGCACGAGTGCGTCCGGTGAAGGCTGAACGTTCGGCAATCCCACGCGAATCGTGTGTCCGCAATACATTCGATTGCCCTTCATCTGTTGATTCTGCTAAATGCTCTCTGTCATTCACGGCGTATCGTATATCGGGAATAAGCAAACCTGGAAACAAGCCTAGAGTGGCGGTTCATCGTGCATCCCGAACGTAATTATGGGATTATTACTTTATGAGGGTCATAAAGCGCCCAATTCTGTATTACATCACGAATAACAGGACACCGTCTATGGATTTCCTCAGGAGAAGAATGTTTATTTAAGAAAACCCGATCCCTCGAGCATGAAGATATCGCACATACGAAAAGCAAAATTGCAAAATGGCGCTCGATATGTGCATATATGCGTGTGTGTGTGTATATTGTTTTGTGAAACACTGTCGAATTATCAGACATTCGTCGCGCGTTTACTTTTTTCACCCCATTCCGCGCTTACGAGCACTCGTAAAGTCGCAAATGATAGTTTTATAGTGGCTGCCTCCTGCGAGAGGCGCTATTCCAACCCTCCATAGGTGACCTTTGCCCTCGCGCAAAATATTCACCGGGTTCCGTTCGCGCGTCTGCCAGTGAAGGATTCCTTAACAGTATTGCCGGGAGAGACGCGGGAGCGAGAGAAAGCGCGCCATTTTCAGCACGTTTGTCCTCGCATAGAAACACCCTTTTACGATTCCGCCAAGCCCTGCGAATCACCCTCGGGAATTCAGGTTTTATAGACCTTTTGCTGCACGAGCGAAGCCGCTCGGACCAGAAAATTACGCGGCACTGTGTTCCGCCACGTTCAAATGGAATCTTTAACGAAACGATTTAAGCGGTTCGCGGATTTTCCCGCGTACGTGTCCGGTCGCTGTTCAGCGCGCGAATCGTATTTATATTTAACGTATTCGCCGTCTATTATGACTCCGCGACAAATTCCCATTTCCCGCTTTATTCTTCGCGCGTCACGCCGCNGGGGGGGGGGGGGGAAGGAGAAAAGAGAATGAGGAGAGAGAAAGAGAGAGAGAGAGAGAGGATGTAGGAATTAAATTGCGCAAGGTTAAAAGTTCGTTGCGCACACGTGCGACACGCGACATTCCCGAGCGTTTTTTCCGTTTGCGTTCTCCGCCTCGGCGCAGGACTCGTTTCCGTAAGGATAGCGGGATAATTGAAAGACCCTTACGCGCAACGGCGCACGGAACAGTTCCGAGTCGCCGTGAGGAAATTAGATTCACCAGACAGAAGTTAGGAGACGAAAATGGAAAAAGCTGGTTCTGAAAGCTTTCGGATGTAGCTGTTTAAAGCGCGTCGCTCGGGTACACCGATTCACAGTACGCAAATCCGCTCGCGCGAATCGGGTCATTGGCTTACAATTTCTTTTCTCTTCCTTTTCTCCTCTCCATCTGTCTCTGAGCACGAGGCGCCGGAAGTCGATAATACTCAGTCATGCTAATCAAAGCCCGTAGCCTTCGACGTGCCATGCCGATCTGCGTGTGTGCGGAGTGTACGTGTGTATCGGTATATATGCCATGGAGCGACTGAGCTGTCATAATCGCGACACATTTACCGTTATCGAGGAATATCAAATTCTCCCGCGAAAATATCCGTCCTTACTCGATTACGTTCGATCGCACGATCGCAGAAGCCGAATTATGAAATTGGAAAGAAAGTACCGTTCGACGGTACGCAAACCGGAGATTGAAAGAAATGTCTCGCGTTACACGTGAACTTACGGGGATCCCGAACGTCTTTCTGTTTTACCGTAAATTCCTTAATACTATACTCGTTATTAGCTGCACAGAATTGAAAATTCTTTCGTGCAATCGCAACATACACTTTAATGTAAGCGAGGACGGTTGACTTGAAACAAATTATTATAATTTAATTATATAATATAATTATTATAATTATAAAATTTTTACAGACACTCTGAATTATCTTCGAGCGCATGTCGATGTAAAAATGGTTCCGCGGACGCGACGACATTTAACAGAACCTTTCGGAATTCTGAGAGAAAGAGAAAGATTCACACATATACACTCAGACAGAGAGAGAGAGAGAGAGAGAAAGAGCGAGAGGAATGTAGGAAAACGAGCGTGCGGCTGTTTCACGCGAAATATCACGGGAAGCTTAATCGGACATCCATTACGCGAGCTCGCTTCGACTTGAGAATGCGCGATAATGTTGCCACGCGTACACGCAAACGAACACACTGCGTATCTCGCACGCTGACGTGGGTGCGCGATGCCGTTTTTTGCGACCGTTAGTCAGCGATCACACGGCGTCCGTTTGCGCGGTTTGCAAAAATACAATCTCCATTTGTAAATCCGTCTGGAATTACACTCGTCTAGGTCGATTCGGTTAAAATAGTTCTCGCGCCGTCGCCGGCAGTACTCACGCGCTGATTTCTACCCGGTTCTGCAGTACCGTTGGTTCCAAAACGCGTTATTATTACGCCCGTGAATAACTTTTTAGCGGTGTGTATGAGCAAGCTGCTAAATTCGATATCGATCGCTGAGTTTCTTTTTCAGTTTACTCTCGTATATTCGATATCGCTTGTATTAAATAGCGATTTTAATTTCCTACTCCTTCGGTGAAACCCTTCCGAGCGTAACGCGAGCGTTTCTCGCGTGCACAACACTGTGCAGCTTTAATTGTCAAGTATCGCAGTATCGATACCTGGGTAAATAGAAACGAGTGTTCAGCCGAACAAAATATCCGGTGGCGTTATCATTGGCGGATCAATCTAATTTTCTCGTATTTTTATTTGTAATGCAATACCACTCGGTATAATTTAACGCGCTTGAAAATAGGAAAATACTTCTCTCACACATTGAGGACGCTAATGAAACCTCCAACTTGAAACTGGCAATTTCGCCGATTGTTTTTCTCTCGAATGGAGTCACGATCGGTCGTGCGCGCGAAGACCACGGTTATCGTAGGATAAGGACAAATGGCTGTAGAGTTAATGCGCTTTAAGGATGTATCATCATCACTATCGTCGTATTTCCAATGATATATCAATGGGGCCACTCATAAATTTATTATTTACGAAGCGAAATTGCGTTCGTACATATTTATTTCGCTACCTAAATAATAAACGTTAATTTGAAACGCAGTTGAGGTAAACAGGTGTACGCAATATTACAAATACGAAAATATTATCTTTTTATTTTTCTACTAGTGATATATTTATGGTATGCTGATCCAATAGAGGTGCATAGATAATAGAGGTGGTCATATAAATGTTTAAATATATGCATATGAATATATATATTTCAAACATTAGTATAAGTTATGAACTTTATAATCGCTGCATTTCCAACACAAGATGTAGTTAATTATTTTGAAATTTATATACAATATCTGCATATTAGTCTTTAATATCATAATAGTTTTTCATTAAAATCTTATTTTTGTACTTTAGAAGATATGAAAAATAGAAATAAAAATATCACACTATTCGCAAAGGACATGTACAAAAAGCGTCAATTTGAGTTTACAAATATCTCAGCTCTCGCATGGTCAGTCTTTTTCTAATTGCACGAGCAGAGAGTTCGATAATATCTCAATGTGTCACGCAGTGCAAGTTTCATCGAATTCTTATCAAATTCTTATCGGTTCGCCTTGTAACCCCCTTTTAAGTAGAATCACTTTTAATCCAGGCTCCGGATCGGTGCGAAACCTTTGCTGTCATTTTTAAACGCGACGTAAGACAATTTCTTCGCAATCACTTCATCATTTCTATGGGCGATACATCCTTAAGCGGCGCTTGATTACGTTTCACCGATACCTGCTAATCTAACCTTCGCCATTGAAATGTGCACAGAGCGACGGTGACGGCGGTGTCTTGGCATCCGCACGGCACTTACCTGGCGTCCGTGGATCGCACCAAGACAGTGACGGTTTGGGGCGATCATGTTTGACAGTACGAGTGATCCCGGCGCAGGCGATTGTTGTTTCACGCATGAAGAACATCTCGCGCCTGTTTCGCCCTCGCGCTTCTCGCGAAAATGAGGCGGACGCGATCCAGCAATCCAGTGGGAAATCACAGCGCAGCGGCCTGGCGGCCCGGTGCAGCAGGAGGAGGATATAATCAAAATCATTGGACGGTTTGGCCGCGCGGGTTGTAAAGCCTTGTAAGGACGCCGTTCCGAAGCTGTAAAGGCAGCGGAGATGTGCCGCGCTGAACAAATCCACCAGCGGTAGGGACTATTGTACATAAAACTGCACTTATTGTTACCCCCGGGTTGTAAAGATCCCCTTTTTAGAATAGTGCGGTGCGCGCCGCGCGCGCACACCGTCTCTCGTCCTCCGACGCCCCGCGGAAAATTTCAGATATTACCGTAGTTTTACTCGCCCGAGATTCGCTAGGTATAACGCTTCCCCGCTAACCACCAGGAGACACACTCGCGGCACCGTCAATCGCACGTTGCGGCTCGATCGACCGCTTTCGGGGAACCGGAGGTTCACACCGGTGCGGAATCGTCCGCAAAGCGTTCGCCCATCCGTGTATTCGTTACAATATTAACCTTATACATACGACCTTATACCATACATATACGCAGATCTATGTACCAAAATTATACCACTTTATTTACCCTTCTTTTTTTTTTTTACCGAGATGTCGATTACCGAGACACTTCGTAGAGGACGTTGTTCGGCGGATCCGCGCACGAACACGCGACGAAAAGCGAATTAACAGGAGAAGAGAATTAACTGTCCGTATAACTGAAATTTCATAGCGGTGTTTACAGTCTGATGTTATGTTTAAGATCGTCTTTAAGTTCATTTTCGGAAGTCCCGTAGCCGATAAAATGAGCCGTGTAACATCTGAAGGTGAACCTTAACTACCGGATGTAGTTTTGAGTTGCAGGGGCTAAAAATGAAGAATTGAATTAACTAAATTTCAGTCGCATCATGCGGACAGCTAATTTTTCCCCGTGGGGGGGGGGAGGGGGTGATCCTTTCTTTCCGGGTTCGCGCGGGATCTGAGGTGACGCGTGAGCGAGACGTCCGTACAAACGCGCGCTGCGTCTCAACGAGATTACTTCATTAGGCAGTCAAGTGTCGCGATCGGAGGCAATTTGCGAATTGGCGGCTTCATTCACACGCCCGGATATACGTTTCTAACGCGCTGGGAGTCCAATTGGACGACGTCGAAAGATCTGTCCCGTCTTTTCTTTCACATCACTTCTTCTTGTTTGTTTATCGGCGTGCGAAATCAATTCCGCCGGAGCAATCTCTCATTCTCGGACCCGCGGCCACACCCGTCGTGTTCCGCGTGTTCGACTCGTCAGCCTGCTCAGGTGTCAGGATTCTTCGACACGTCGGTGAAACTCCCGCGCCTCGAAGGCGAGTCCGACGTGGAACGGAGATCGGAATGTATTTAGGAGAACCTGTCCTGCGATACTGATATCAACTAATCGCGTTGTTACGTCGTTGTTTTGCGTGGAACATCGCCGATCGAGTTGATAAGCGCGACGATCGGCTAATCGAAACTGTTCACGTGCGCTCGTGATTTTTATCGCGAAGCGCGTTATCGGATATCGAGTCTTCGCAGGATCCGATTTCGAGGGCTCCGCACGGTGTAACGCTGTAATAATCTGTAATTCCCGAAACGTCGGATTCTTCCGCGACTTTTCGTTCTCCTCTTTCTTTCTTGTTTTGCGCAACGAATCGCATTCTCTTCGGCGGACGGACACGGCATGCGAAGATACCGGGCGACAAGTCGACTTTCCGATCTCTCGATCTCCAACGTTTCGGATTCTTGAACTTTTAGCACTTTTGATAACTCCTCGTTTTAATGTTACATCGCGCCTACCTGCGAGCAATAAGACACGCACTCGTCTGATTTTACGCGTTTCGTTATGCAGCTTTTCCTCTCGCGGGCGACCCTTTTATTCGGGCTCGCGTAGCTCCTCGGTCGCCCCATCGCGTGTACTTCAAGACGACGGTGTGTCCACGAAGCAGCGAGATTTCGATTGGAACTCAGGTGCGCCGTTCCGACTCATATTGTAGGATATAATTTGTTTGTTTAACGCGTTTATATACACCGTATAGTCCAGTCGCCGGATACTTACGACGGTTCTCCTGCTTGCGAATCGTGAGAAACGTTTGATTATTGTACGAGGGGGGAGAAAAATTGATTATTGGTTTGCGCGCGATAATTAATGGGAAGCCTTGCCTTCTAAGGAAAGAAGAAACACGAACTCGTTTACATTCTCGTCGAATGAGAACGTCACGAACGGCGGACGTTACCAACTTCTGAATCGCAGTTCACACTATGCGCTCTATGACGCGCATATTTCTCAACTGAAACTAATATAACCGAAACTTATCGTTTAATTTCCGCGTTTCGACGTAATTGATTTCGAATATTCCTCCACGTTGCGACAAGCAGCGCGTCCCTTCTGATAACGCGGACCAATGATCATTCTTCTTCCCTCGTCATTGCGATGACAATTACCGGCTCGCATCTCGAGCGAACAACTGATTGCGTCCAAAGTATTGCGTAACAATTTTAACACCGTACACACACGTAGACCTCAGTTCGACTCGACTATTAAGCCACAGCATCTCTCTTTTTCTCTATATATTGCAATGTATATAACAGGCATGCCGCATACATCGGTCACATATGTAAATAGATTATATTAAACGTTTCCGTCTTGTATTTTCTAAAATACGGCTTCAGTCATTTCAATATCGACCGCCCCGGCCAATCCCGCTCCATCCTTCCCACCGGCCGTCTACCTCGGCTATACATTTGCAGTTTAGGCAAAGAAGGGACACGACGTTTCTCGATAACAAGATGCATAAACGGTAAGTGAAATATATGTAATATAATAAGAGATAAAAATACGGCATGAAATATTCGATCCCCGCGTCATATCGATATCGACGCTTTAATCGAATTCATCAACGGCCTCCGCTTAAGGCATACAGGATTTCCGAACCGTAACGACGAACGCTCGCTGGGTATGTACGCACCTTAAAGTACGCATAAATCGCGCTCGAAATGAAACACTGGAGTTCGCGGTAGCCACCAAGTTGCCGATAATCCTTAAGCGATCGTCCCGACCTACTTTTTGCGCCCTTTGTAACTTTTCACTCGAGACAAGTGGCTCGTTCACCGCACCCCTAATCCTGCTTTTCGCTCCTACCGACCGACCCTCCGCGACACGCGCGTGTATGTAACAGCGCGCACACGCTCGCGAGCGTACACGCGCACCGCGCCCCCGTAGACGCGCGTGTGTATGCGCACATGTATGCGGGCGCGCACACGTGTGTGCATCGCGAACCCCTCACAGGAACTCGCCGCGGCGTTGCACAGCAGCCGTGTATCTGACATTACCTAACGTGCTTTCGAAAGCGCTCATTAGTCACTGAAATGCGGTCACGAAGTGACAACTCGCACGTGGAATATTATACGCTCCAAGAACTTGCATCGGTACTCATATCGCGGCGGCGTTCGCGCGCCGGCACGTCTCTCTCTATCTCACCCTCTCCCTGTTTGTAACTTTCGTATTATACACCCTTTGTCCGCGATTCGACAGTTTCGACAGTTTTGCAATGGAACGTGAGAACACGGTCGCACGGTCGGCCGGGGAGAGAGCGAGAGAGAGGGAGAAATAGAGAGAGAGAGAGAGGGTCGGCTTGCAAACGACGTTAAAATTCGATTGGTCGGCCGCATTTGGGACTGAAAAATTTTCCCCTCCGCAGCATAACGTACGCGCGCGTGTACGCCGGCCGGTTTTATCGGGGGCGCAGATACGCTCTCGGTACGTTTTTATTACCGCTCGCGAATTCGTTACGCGACATCGACGGCGCGGTCTTCCCTCATTCACCGTCGTTTTCGCAAGTTAGGAAGTTCGACGGCGCCCGGGTATGGAGGCGGCGGCTGTCGTGCGTGCGTGCGTGCGTGCGTGCGTGCGAAACGGGACTGTTTTACCGATGGTAATCTGCGCGTCGAATCGCGTCCGAATGTTCGCGAATCGAGCGACGCGCGCCGTTCGGCCGTTTGTCCCCGGAATTTTCGGTTCCGTGTCAAATCTCTATTTCTACAACATAGCGGGAACTAAGGTAGCTAAATAGATTCGATTTTCGATTCTAATAATACGGGACCCCTACTTTTTCACCTTGATAAGATCTTGAATCCCCCAATTCGCTGTTTTGGCGTAAAAATAGGTTGGTAAAGGTAGAATTCAATTTGTTAGAATTCAATCTGTAGAGTTAAAGGCCCGAGAAAGAAGTCGAAAAGTATTGGTATTAGTGAGGTAGGTTTTTATTAATCTTAAGCCGTCTAAGTAGGCGTGATTCTTAACATGCTGAGTGCCACTGATTTCCATTGATCATACAAACGTCCAACTGATGATTTCACATCACTGAAAGTGTAGTAAATAAATATAATTCAGGGTATATGTATCTTACCTCATTTTACTAGCTCTTTATTGATTGCACAGCTCATTTTAGAAATGCAATTAATTATATTTTATACGCAACTCAACAGAAACGGGCTGACGCACAGCTTCGGCCTCCGGCATTCGACGTGTCAAGAGCGTCAAAGTAGCTTGAAAATTTCGACTCGGGTTCTGTCGCGACTGACGTAGCGCGGAGGATCCACAACGGTTGCACGGAAAACAGAGAGAGAGAGAGAGAGAGAGACGAGTTGGCAAGCCATCGTTCTCGTAGTTCGCGGAAATAATCATGCGTTCGTCGCTCGGGCAATATTACTTTCTAAAATCAACACCTTTGTAACGCATTTATTTAGGTATCGCGTTTCGCTTCCTTGTTTCTCCGGTACCTGCGGGGAAGTACCGTTTCTACGATTACAATCCGCACGGCTCGCCTCACTCTCGCGCCTAACCGACGTCAAACGTCCCCGTTAACGGTCGTTTATTTCGAAGATAATGAGGAAGATGTTGGCAGGTCCAAAGAGAGGAAATTGTGCACGAGAGCCGGGAGAGTGACAAATTAACTCGCGCCTTGACTTCCGTGAGATTCGAGTCCTTCCCTCCGCTCGGATAGATCTCCGCGCATCACCGCAGGCGGGAAAATCTTACGGAAATGCCGGTCGTCGAGTACCGGGTAATGACGGTACGAAGTTCAAGCGGGACGTTTATCCTCCCGACGAGGCGAAAATATCTCCTCGCGGGTAAGAACACCGCTTGCATACTTTATCGCCGGGCCCCGGCGATCAATCGAATGCGAAATCTGTTAAATACGGAGGAAGGACGGTCGCGCGCCTTCCGTCGCGGTAAAATGGCCGAGGGAGCGCCGAGCGTGTGTCTCCGCGAAGTTTAAGAGAACGAATCGCGCGACAGATTTATCGGCCGCATTTTTCTCCCGCTGTTTTACAAGCGAGGCGACGCTCGGCTGGTATCGCGGCCGGCGATACCTTCGAGATCGGCCGTAATAGATATTCGAGAAAAAAAAGTTATTTGCGCGAAACGTAATCTCACTTCCGCCATGAGAAGGCGCTGATATAATATAACGTGCAATTTAAAGAATCGCGAAGGAGTGTCCAATTAGGACGCTAATGTGTCGGGAAGCGGCGGAAATGAAGCGGAAAGAGGCTACGCCGATAATTTTCGAGGTATGCGTCAATCACTCCGCCGTGCCTCGAATGGAGATCGGATATTTACCTCGAGTCGACTCATTCATCCTTAATTAACGTAACTGTGCGTGATATCCAGATGTTTCCGATCTAAGAACCATGATCGGCAGATTTCTTCTTGGACCATTCGCGGTAATTTATATCGACCCGTTCGTGCGCCTCGGAGGAGGAGAAGGAAGATAAAGAGGCGTAAGGGGCAAAAAGGAGGAGGGGAGAGGAGGAGAAGAGAACGAGTCTCGCTCTCAAAATCCCTCGTTACACGAGAAAATCGCGATCTCTATCGTATCTTATCTTTCTATTTGTCGTGTCGCGGTAATCGCCGGCTCGATGCACACGCAGGATGCTCGACGACGAGAGAGCCGGTTGACTTTGCAGGAGGAATGCGCGGGCAAATTCGCTTCGTTCTCTTCCAACGGACATTTCCCCGGGATAAAAATCTAATTATTTTATTTCGCTCGGCACGTCATTATTTTCCCACGTGTCGGTGATTTCGTTCCTGTTTTTTCCTTCGACAAACCGACGCGCGGCGGCCAAATGGACGCGAAGCGAGGCGGTCTCTCGCGTCTCGCTGTATTTCGAAATGATACGAAAAATGACACGTGCGCGTATCGATTGACACACTTTCCGTGCTTTATCGGTTCGGACGCATCGATGAAAATATCATGGATGCAGTGCGCGCGCGCGCGCGGTGTCGATATCAGACGCGCAATCATCGCTCGTCCGACGCGCCGACGGCTCTCGTCGAAAGTGCGCTGATCCACGCGGTTTCCTCGAGCCTCCTTTGGCCCCGGCGTTTCCTCCCTGTGTCGTTTCTTTTCTTCTCAAGCCGTGACGGATCCCGGACGGATCTCCAGCGAGGAACTTCAACCGGGGAGGCTCGCACGCGTGTGCGAGCCCCGTGCAGAAGGGAGTCGTGACGCTGATTGACGGGCGATCGCATCGTCGACAATGTGTTAATGCTCGTAACAGTATCCGATATCCGTTGGATATCGATGACTGGTCGATCGAGTCTGAGCGCCGTTTCACGGAGATATGGCCGTCGGGCGCGAAATCAGAACCGACGGGCCGTTCGACATTTTTCCAGCCGGACACATTTTTAATTACGGCCCGGGAGGAGCGCGCGCGCGCGTTTTTGCCGGAACATCCGCGGATCTTGTTTCTCGCCGGATTTCCTCCCGCGCGCCACCACGTGCCTTTCTTGCGCGAGACGCGCATGCTACCCGCGATTATCCACGGCTCGTCATTCGTGCCTGATCAATAAGCTACAGTTAATCGCGCACGTTGCGGCGGAACGAATTACACGTCGCGCGCGGCGTGCGGAATACGTTTATCTGCTTTTAATTAACGCACGCTATATATCCAATGAATCTGATCTATTCCAAACCAGATTAAGCGGTCGACGAGCTTTCTTGCGAATCGAGAGCTCATTTGAAATGGAAACGAAGTGCCCCCGGCGATTCCCGTGTACTTCCTTCTTTTTTCCCGCTCTCCTCTCTCCCCCCTTCCCGCCCCTCCCCCTCCCCTTTCTCTCTCGCTCCTTTTTCCTTTATTATTTCTTGCGCCCTTAAACGCCGCATAAGTAAAACGCTTCACTCGACGTTTCGAGGCTCTCGCCGGCAGCAGCAGCAGCTCGCTGAACTCGAATGATAAACCGTGCCGCGACAGCGTGCAATTCCGATTCGATCTTATTTATCAACGCGAACGCGCGGGCAAATCGCGTCCCGCTTTTATTTACTCGTGCCGGGAGATCGGTCCCGATAGCGCAAGTTGCGCGCTCAACCTCGTTACATCTTGTTTGGCCTAACGCGCATAATGACCTCTCGCGGCTGCCTACAGACCGAGAGGAGGGGGGGGNGGGGGGGAGGGGAGAAACGGATAGACTCGCGAATGATCGATCAAAATCAGCGAGGGAAGGGAGGGTGTCGGGGCTGGGCGCGGATATCGGGCGCAGTTGCGATAATTAGCGCATCGTTCGCGCGGCTCAATTAACTGCGCTACTCCCCCCTTTTTTTCTCCCGACGGCTCTCTGCATTACGCCGTTACGCATGAACCTGCGGGATGTCATCAATATCCATCAAGCTATAAATCGCAACCACCGCCGGCGTGGCCCTCTTAAATCGGGCAACTTCTTATCGTCATGTCGCGTAGTCGTTACAGTCGGACGTTACTTCCCGGCCTCCGGTAATTCCTGTCCCGATAATCTCGATCGATCGATCGTCCCTTTCGCCGGCCGCGGCGTGGCACCGCAACGGGAGCGAAGCGATTTGTCCGAGTCGAAGCTTCGTCCGTCCAATCGCGAGAACGAGGCCGGTTGATCGCGCGTGACGGAGAGTCGCGAGCTTGCGCGATCCTTCGTCGCGAGAGGGAAACGTCGCTCCGGGTTACAATGCTTATGTGTGCGCGCGTATGTGCGGGGTAAGACGTCTAACGTCCGGAGGCTTCTCCCCGGTCCGCTTCGCTCCGCTCGCCGGCGGCCGGACGGGATATCGATATTGAAACGTAAAAAAGATTCAATCAGTCGCGAAGTTTCAGCGCCAATCAATCACCCCTTCCCGCAGCCCCTCGTCCGTTCGGCTTTAGGACGCGAAAGCTCCCTCGCGCGCGCAGCCCGCACTGACGCGCCTGATCGCGACGACGACGCTAAAATGGCCGTGAGGGAGAGAAGGAGGGGAAAGGCGGGGAGGAACAGGGTGCGCGATGGGGGTGAGGGCGAACCGGAGAGGGTGGCTGCGAGCGCGAGAGGGAGGCTGCGACGCGTCACGGAGGACGAAGAGGGAAAGAGAAGAGAGAGCGAGAGAGAGAGAGAGAGAGAGGGTGCCGCGCGAGCGAGCGAGTCGGAGAACGAGCTTTCGGGTGCACGACGGAGTCGACGCACTGGAGGCTCGCCGTGCTTGCGGCGGGAGCTTCAGTAGCCGCTCGTACGTCGACCGGAAAACCTTACACATTACGTCGCCCTTAGACGCGCACCGCGCCATCCTCGGCGAGGGATCGAAAGGGGGGCTCGCGGCCGAACGCGACCCCTCGACTTTTTTTTTCCGCTCTCCGGGAAATCGCAAGTTCGCCCTGCGATTCGTGCCGTCGTTTCTTCTCTTTCTCTCACCGGGACGCGTCACGATCGCGGGAGAGAAGAAAGCAGCAGGAGCGATCTATCGAGGGATATACACACACATATACATACAGTGCAGTGAAAAAAAAATCAATGGATCCGTCCGCGGATCTCGTTGGGGCTTGTGATCTGATATAAAGGCCGATCTGTGAGCCGGCGAATGAGCGCGTCGCGCGTGTGTATAAGTGCGTAACTCGACGGGAAAGCGATTATCGAAGCACCATGAGAAGTGATACCGCGAGCCACCGGGCCGCGCGTTCTGCGCTTTCCGCGACGCTCCTCTGCGTCCTCCTCGTCGCCGTCACCGGTAAGAAACAGCCGCGGATGGATTGAACGCGACCTACCCCTGAACCGGCGGGTCTCCCCCGCCGTCCCGAGAAACTTCCCCTCGCGCGGAAAATCGGCGGTGATCGGGAGGGAAATCGGTTACTTCTCGTCGCGAATCTAATCCCGAGCCTGGGAAAGTAGAGGAGAATGGAGGAGGAAAGAAACGAGATAAAAACGCTTTTACGCGCGGAAGGGTTTTCCATGGGAGCCAGCCGCTAATGGTCCCGCCGATCGAAACGCGCGAGGAAAGCTCGATTTGCCGTGAGATACGCGCGCTTTCTCAACGATCGGCGCTTCGACCTCCTCTCCGGATGCGCGCGCGTAAGAATTGAACGTTCGGGCGGCTCTCCTCGGCGAGTCCGCTCGAAGAAGAGCGGATGTACTTCGGCGGAATGTTCTCCGGCGCGTCGGCCGGAGTCGAGCGAGTTCATGAAGCTGACTCGGGCCAACTTCGCCGATGTCTTAAACAAAGCGAGCGCGGATTTCGTCCCCGAGACGCCGGCGGATCACGTAAGGGTCGGAGTTGGGGAGAACGGTTATAGAGTCTGAGCCGAGGAGTCGCGCTTCGCTTGAGGAAACCCTATAAAGCCAACGGACGGGGATTGGGACTGGGAAAGAAAGGGATATATATATATATATATACATATATATATAGAGGGTAGGGAGAGAAGAACTTCTTCCGTCGTTCGATTTCGTACCGTGAGGGTGATCCCCGTTCGATGACCGCGCCTCCCGTCGATCTTCTCCCGAGGCGACGACGGCGGTGACGACGGCGCGATACGCGAGATGAGAAAAACTAGCGGAGCGAACTGCTTCCATGTCGAAAGATCGGCACGTCGGATCGAGTGAGTCACCGCGATTTCCGTCCTTTTGTCCGGCTCGGACGGCCGGGATTAGAGCATCCTTTGTGTCGTCTTAGCGAGACGAAGTCGCGAGAACGCCCGGCGAAGGAGATCACGTAGCGCGCCGTAGCAGTGCGTACGTCCTCGGCGATGAAACCCGCGCGACACGAAGAAACCGGGGGGTGGGGGGGGGGGATTTCAATCGTATTACAGANGGGGGGGGGGGGGGGGGGATTTCAATCGTATTACAGAGAGCCGGGGAGCAAGACTTAACGAAGCAAATATGATCGACAAAAGAATCCGTACGCGCTCCAGGTCGGAGAATCCTCAGCCACCCAGGGAGTCTCGAAAAACCGCGGCGCAAAAAGCACTTTCTAATGGGACACGACGGCGTTAAATGCGCGCTGAAGCGGACCGTCTAATTGGTTCTTACACGGTGTCAAGGCGCGACGAGACGAGAGGGGGGGGGGGGGGGG